GAATTAGTTCAGGCAAAAGTTAGGGAAAATAAAATCGCAAAGAAAAGGACTGCAAAGAAAAGTCCTCATCAAAGAACAAATTGGTGACTACGAACACGAAGACATGAGGGTGGTTTCTACTCCGAAAGCCTCGTTGTTTCCTTGACCGTCACAAAATCCTTTTGAGAGATGAACACTCATGTTGAATTAACTGAACATAGGGTTGGAGAACATCATGAAGAATGGGTGGGCACCAAATATTTTGAGCCTTAAAATCTTTTTTCTAAAAACCATGAACCAGACCACGTTACAACCTTCAAAAGTCCTAATTGAAGCAATGTTATTTTGAAAGCATACTTCAATGAGATAGTGTTCCTGACTCCCATGAATGTTCTAAATAGTTATGTTGGTATCATATGTTTTTCCTATACAAAAATAAATGGTGCTTTAACTCGCAAAATTTGTGCGATATCTTTCAAAATCTTCAAGACTTACATAACTGTTGCATTAGAATTTTCATTCTCATAATAAAATTTTCTAACTGCAAAACATTTGTTTGATATCAAGGAAAATCACATATAAGCACCAGTGATGAGTCTATTCTTAAGGCCTGAAGCTCTGTTGAGTAATTGGCGGATCATTTCCAGAAAAAAATCATATGCAGGGGCATGTCACCTGAAGACCTTAAGCACGGACATGTTGCTTCTCCTAATTAATGCTTTCCCAACTTGTTTACTCTTTTGGGGCAAATTTGGAAGACTTTGTTGTGCCAACTACAGTCAATCCGGGGCAATCACGTCGAGATTTGATGAATCTCTCTAAGAGTTTGAAGACACCAGAGCATGGTGAATGCCAGGTCTTTTGTAAAATCCTCTTGAGACGATTTCTCCTCATCAACCCTATAGCTTGTGGCATTTTAGAAGTGAAGTTATTTGCAAGAATTGTCGTGCATCACGCAGCTTATCAGCAATAAACTTGGGGCATCCAAAATTAGTCCCAGGGGCAATCCAGATTTGTCAAGATGTGTGATGTGTTTTGCACACATCATCAGAGGGTGGTTTTCCAGTATCTCCAGCTAAGCAAGACTCCTTTCTAGCTGAAATTTTGTTCGTGTTGTTATCCTTTCAATGGATTGTTTGCAATAGAAGACTGGACTTTGGGTTTTCTACCTGAAAATATCTTCTTCTCCAAAGAGATTTAAGCCTTGTAAAAGGACTTTGCTCCAATGATGGCTTTTGTTTTCTATCTCCAGTAATGTTACTATCCTGTTGAGATTAGCCGAGTGTCGAGTTGTACTGTGATGTCGTATCATTTTCTGTCTATCTCCCCTGTCTGTTTTGTCAGCATATACATGACATTCATTTATTCACACTTGCATCATGCATGCACAGTTGTATTTGTTGATGTCTTTGGGTACGTATACCTTGGTTATGTCTATTCAAATAGCGTATTTGATCTTTCCAAATAGAATGTCAACTTAAGCAGAAAGTGCGCCTCCTTTCTAATTCCCCACTGAGTTAACTCTCGTGGAAGAATCTTGCTTTAGCTTTCCTTTTCCATCTCTGGATAGGATAAATCCCCATTTGAGTTATTTCCTCATTGGGTGGAGTCTTGTTTGACTGTTTTCTCTCCAGTTTATTCCCGGATTGAGCTGTGTCTCTTGTGAACGATACCCTGTGAATATCTCTAGGCTGTGAAACCTAGATGGAGAGTGCATTTATTTTGCAATGTAAATACTTGGTCTCCTCAAGAAGGATTTACTCATGTTTCCCCATTGAAGATGAACTTTATTCCCCAGTAGTGTTATCATAACCTTCTTCTGGAATACCGACGTGACAACAAGCGACTGACTCCTTATTTGAGCAGTTTGATTATTTCTGAATTTCTTTATGTTATGACAAATGGCGGTCTCTTCATGAGCAGTTTGTCCATCCCCGATGAAATTATTGGTTCTCACCTCCAGCAATATCTTCACGATATTTTATGGGTATCTTTTTGGGAAACAGCAAGCGGCAGTCTCTTCATGAGGCAACTTGTGTGTTATGGATACTCTTGACAAACAGCAAGCGGCAGTCTCTTCATTGACAACTTGTATGTTATCAACACTTTTAAAAACGGCAAGCGACAGTCTCTTCATGGACAACTTGTATGTTATCAACACTTTCAAAAACAGCAAGCGACAGTCTCTTCATGGACAACTTGTATGTTTAAAAACAGCAAGCGGCGGTCTCTTCATGAGCAACTTGTATGGTTATTGCTACATTTGAAAAAACAACAAGCGGCGGTCTCTTCATGAGCAACTTGTATGTTATTATCACCTTTGAAAACGGCAAGTGGCGGTCTCTTCATGAGCAGCTTGTACAGAAAACGGCAAGTGGCAGCTTCTTCATGAGCAGCTTGTACGTTAGTATTTTTGGAAGACAGCAAGTGGCAGCTCATCTATTTGAGCAACTTGTGTGTTATTGTTCCCTTGAAAACGGCAAGTGGCAGCTTCTTTATGAGCAGCTTGTGGGTTTTGGCAACAAGTGGCGGACTCTTCATGAGCAGCTTGTGTGCTTTAATGTTCTTTGAAGACAGCAAGTGGAGGTCTCTTCATGAGCAGCTTGTATGTTATTGACACCTTTGAAAGGAAGCAAGTGGCGGCCTCTTTATTTGAGCAGCTTGTGTATCCCCAACAATAATGTCTACTCAGCAAATAGCATCTCTTCGGAAAAGTCCCGTGGGGAAGTTTGTTATCCTTTTCAAGCGATATCTTGGTTAGAGAAGAAATGTGTTACCGTTCTTGGTAAAATTCAGAAATCAGAGATGTTTATCTCCAGCCACAGTGCTGATGTCAATCATTTTGTTTTCCAGCCACAGTGCTGATGTCAATCATTTTGTTTTCCAGCCACAGTGCTGATGTCAATCATTTTGTTCTCCAGCCACAGTGTTGATGTCAATCATTTTGTTTTCCAGCCACAGTGCTGAGGTCAATCATTTTCCAGTCTCAGTACTGATGTCCATCATTTCCTTTTCCAGTCACAGTGCTGATGTAAATCATTTCTTTTTCCAGTCTTCGTACTGATGTAAATCATCTCTTTTCCAGTCTCAACACTGATGTAAATCATTCAAGAGTCTCTCGTTTGAAGTCTATGACTCTGTTTCCCCAGTGGAGTTACAACCTCTTCCTCTGTGGGATTACTGTATAATGTGCTTGGTTTCTCCAGCATAGTCTGTCTCATATGGCGTCATTCCCCATAAAATTCAGAGCATTACATTCATATCATATCATGAACATAATCGCGGTATCTTAAGGTCAAAAATTGTGTATTCTATATTTAAGTCCCTTCAATCTCGTCGAAATGAAGATCCCAATCTTCATATCTCCAGATAGAAGAAACTTAAATAGGGGCAGCTGTTGTACCCCAATTTTTGACCTAAGATCCCATTTTGATTTTCCCATTTTTTTTAAAGATAAGTCAAGGTCACGAAATACGGTCGGTTTTAACCTCTCACCTTCGAGCTTTGACTATGCGAAGATTGTCAAGTGTTTTGAACATTTTTAGCCTATGTATCACAAATTTCTAATTGCATACAAAGGTGTATGTTCATGTTTTCTTTTGCTTCATATGCAGAGACAGGTCTGAATCAAGAGCATCAGGTGTCGCGCCTCAATTAATGTTTTGAGTCTCCCAAGCCAGAAGTACGGTTGATTGTGGATTCTCGAAGACTGATTCATCAAGGCACACCGTTTCACCCTTAATTTCGCCCCTAATTTTCAGTCGCACATTCATACCATATTTTGTCATTTGGTCACAATCATTAGTAAATATCTTCATTCATCACATTTTGCATCATTAGTCGTAGTTAAGTTGATCAGTCTTTCAGTTGTAAAATACCCGGCATTTTGCTTCATGCATTTTTATCTATTTACTCATTTGTTGCATTGCTCCAAGTTGTTTATATGTCAATAATAAAAATATTTTGGTTTTATAGACAGACTGTTAAAAGAGATTCGACACTATGCGGGAAAGTAGCGAGAAAATATTTCAAGTTTTCACCTTTTAACGATCATTTTATGAATCTGCGCTTCGCGTAGATTATGACGGTATGCTCGCTTTATTTTTCGGTACAGTTCGAAGTCTCGTTTTTAACCTTAAACGTCTGTTTAGTCTGATATTTTTATTATTATTTTATTTTTGATTTTTTGACTTTTTGAATATTGTTTTTCTTTAATCTTCGTGACATGTAGTTTATTTTAATGTGTTCATTTTATTTTATCGGATAAATTTTCGTCCATTTTTTATCATTTTCGGTCATTTTGTGTCTTTATTTTTAATTCAGAAAAAAAATTCAAAAAAACTATTTTAAATTGAGTTATATTTTATACTTTTAGGTTTTTAAGTTATTTTATCATTAAAGGGCTTTTCTGTCATAAAAAATGTTTGTTACACTTTGCTTTGCTCTTATTGGTCGTAAGCAAGAGTTGCGGATCGATAGAAAAAGAAAATACAAAAAAAACCCACTCATCATCTTTATCTAAAGCTACCTCTTTGCTATGTCTTTAAAAAAAAACACAGCTCCTGTATATATCAATGGCACTGATAATATCCAAACCAATTCCTCATAAATTTTCCGCCCTCATCAACAAAACAACACCAACACGGAACAACCCATTTTGTCCCCATTAAAAAGTTCTACTGTTCACATCCAACATTATTCATCTTTCTACGATCATGTCAAATTCAAGCGAATATCTCGAAGCCCTCTTAACCTCAGCTAAACCCTTCATCCGTAAAGAACTCAACTCCATCAACGCCAACCTCCCTTCCTTAATAACCATCCTTCATTCCCATGGTGCATCAGAATGTTGGCACAAACATGGTACTTTCCTCGAACACCTTGTCGACATTTTCCAAATCCTCCACCTCTGGAAATCCCTCACCCCCGCGTTCAAACCAAACCCACACAGTCCTCCCTCTGTCCAACTGCCTCACACCCTAAACACCGAGAAACTCCATCCAGTTTACAGTGAACCACAAATGGATTCATCACAAAGTCCATCTACTGGGGGGAACGGGACTCCGATCTCTCAAACTAATGATACTGCAGCTTCTGCTGCAGGAGCTGATGATTCTATGCAAAACCTGAACCAGATCAGCAACTCCATTCAGAAAACCTTGGGCCTTATCCATCAGCTTTATCTTACCGTCTCTACATTCAATGCTGCCTTTCAAATGCCACTCCTACAACGCATCAATGGTCTTGTTGCTGAGCTTGACAACATGGTCAAATTGGCAGAAAAGTGTAACATTCCGGTTCCTATGGAGGTTGTAAATTTAATTGATGATGGGAAGAATCCGGATGAGTTTACGAAAGATATTATTAACAATTGTATTGGAAAGAACCAGATTACCAAAGGAAAGACTGATGCTTTAAAGAATTTGCGCAAGCATTTATTGGAGGAACTGGAGGTAAACTTCCCTGATGAGGTTGAAACATTTAGAGACAGTCGTGCTGCTTCTGCTGCGGAAATGAAGCGTTTGGCACAGACACAAAAAAAAGGCAGAAAAGCAACACACATATCCTCATCGATCTCACCATCAGTACCCCTGCCTCTATTTCTTTTCAATCACCATCAGTACCTTCGCCTATGTTTCTTCTCGACGGCTTCAACGACTCCATTTGGAGCATCGCCATCGGCTTCTTCAATGCCATTTGGAGCACCGTCAATAGCTTCTGTGACTGCAATAACTTCGGCTAGCTCATCGACTTTGACACTTTCGGTAAGCTTTCTATTACTAGTTCATTTGTTTGCATAATTATGATAATGAGAAATTTTCTATGCTAGAATTTTGATGATAATGACATTGTTGTTAGTTCATGGTTGATTAATAATTATTGTTGTTGAAGTTATTAAATTAGTTTTGAGGTGATGAAGATTATTGATTGTGAGATTGAAACTTTGTTGATTTATTAAATTGAATGAAGAACATGTTGTTGTGGTAGTGAAAAAGTTTGGTAAACGCAAAATAACAAGTAACAATGTTTTCCCAATTTCCTCTGTTTCCCTCTTTCAATTTCCTCTCCATTCAACTGTCACAACCAGCTTCTCTCCTTCGCAATTTAAACTGGCCTCAAAGCCCATTACACATGCAGTGCCAATATTGTAGCCCACTCTTCAATTCCTATTTCATTATTTGCAGTATATTTTGGTTATTGTTATTTTATTTTAGTTAGTAACATAAATTAATTTAGAATTATAATATTGTTTGTTTTTGGGTTTTAATTAGTTTTTTTTTCTAATTACTGTTTTGAATTTACATTGAATAATAACATGAGTTCTTGGTTCTTAATTGAAAAAATTTAATTTTCTCATATGCATTCATGCAATTTCATTTCGATTTATACTTTGTTATTACCAACACATGTTCTATTTGTTGCAATTTCATTTGATTTTATTTTTATACTTCGTGACTACTAACACATGTTTTAATTGTTGCAATTTCATTTTTATATCTCTTATGCTACTAACAAGTTTGTTTACTGTGAAGGTTTCCGAGAACTGTTTCAAGCGGTCGTTCTCGCATAGCGCATTTATACTTTTTCTTTATTCCCTTTTTACCTTACTATTTTGATTTAATATTTGGTACTGTAAATATATACTGGTACATAATATTTTTTACTGTATATCTTACTCATTTCATTGGTAAATAAATTCCGTCTATGTAGATATTATTTTCATTGCATTTTGATTTTATTTTTAATTCCAATTAACTTCTGAAAATTGTGCGGACGCACATAAGTTTCCCGTGCTGTTAGATTTTGTCGGTATATCTCTTGTGATGCAGGGATTCTTATCTGACACCGTGAGCTTTATCCACCGCCTTTGCGCTTTATCTGATGCTTGGAGTATTATCTCACATTAGGTTTTTTTGATGATGCTGTCGGCTTGTGATTTATTTTCACCTAAGGTTTGATATACTCTTACTTTATTTATCCGTCTGTGGTTTTAACTCCAAGGGAAAGATTTAAATTTGTTGACTTCACGTCATCAAATACATCTCATACGATTGCGCGAACCCCTTCATTCATTTTTTGCTTGTTTACTATTTTGCAAAACTCAAGATAATTTTCCTAAAAGATTCAAATTTCAAACTCACACCTTTTAAGTCAAAACTTCGACACTAGGTCGTCGCATCTTCAAAATCTCTCCAACACCGATTTTTAGCCAAACGAACCATTTTAATCAAACAAACAATTTTAACCAAAAAAAACAGATATTTCAAAAGGTTCCTGCGGAGTACCGCAGATGCATTGGGTGCTAATACCTTCCCGTTGTATAACCAACCCTCGAACCCTCGATCTCTTTTAAAAACGCATTGTATTTTCATTACTTTTAAATATTAATTTACATTGCATACTTTAGGGTTTTATTTCGCTCTTTTCCCTTTTCCCTTGGAAATAATAAAGCGCGGTGGCGACTCTTGCTTTTGTGAGTCAAGTTAATTAATAGCTTGATCTCCGATTTTCACCGCTACACTAAAATCCCAAGAAGACTCTTCTACAAATAAGTTGTTTCACAACACACAAAATGTTGGCTTTTAGAGAGAGAATAGAGAGTTTTGAGCAGAAAAATAATATTCTTTGTAATCTTTGCTCATTCAGAAAAAAAACAACTCCACTTTCATCCAAAACAGAAACCCTCAATCCATTATTCCATATTACAAACTCTCCCATAAACCAAACACCTTATCACATAGAGTTTGTTCAAACAAAAGAAAAGTTTCTGTAGTGCCATTATCTTCACCCTCCAAACACAAAAATAGTACTGTATAACTTGACTAAGTTAGTGTGATTCAACAGTTTGGGACATCTTCCTGGAGATTCATTGGAGCCATCATAGCAGCTGGAAAAGTATTCAGGCTTAAAACACCAAGTGCAATCCCAAGGTAAGTCTTCTTAACTTTGAGCTTTTCATTTTTCATACATGATTTATTTTTGAAGATAAAATGTAGTAATCATTATCCCTTTTGAGCTAACCATTTGTTTGTTGTTTATGTTTATCAATTATATGCTTTAACTGACCTGCACAGATAATAAAACAATGTTTAAGGCAAAAAACTACAGCATGAGTCGACACATACCCACATGCGTTGACTCATTCTAGTGAAAAAACAGGGTATGAGTCGACACATTGCCTTATGCATCGACTCATACTGTTATCCAGGCCCCAAAACAGAAGGATGAAAGGTGAATGAGTCGACACAAAACGTGTATGTGTCGACACAAATAGGTGCATGAGTCGACACATTCCTTTATGCATCGACTCATACAGAGTTGGTTTGGTTTTGAAGGGGCAAGGAAAGCTATGTGTCGATGCATAGCAGCATGTGTCGACACATAGTAGTTCAAAATGCATTTTTTTCTTTTATTTTACACTGTTTTTACGTTGTCTTCATTATTATTCGATATGGTTGTAATACTTAAGTTTCTACTTCATCCACGTTTGTAAATTGTACCCCCACTCCCCTAATTATGTAATAGCTTAGGATTTTAATTTCCGCAATTTACCGCTTTAGTATAAATTGTTATTAATTAAGGTATGTATGGCAAGATAAAATCAACCATTAGAGAACCCTAATTTCAAAGACAAAAATGCATGAAATCAAACACACTATTCACACGTGCACCTCTTGGGTAACCCCGCTTGTTGCCTCGGAAAATAGTCATGTCCCTCGAATATAGGTGTTTTAGCAAAGACCCTCTATAAAAAAGATCGTAGTCCCTCGATGTCCCTCGATTTTGCCTTCGGTAAATGATCTAGTCCCTTACGAAAATTGCTAAAATGTCTCATAAGTTGCCTTCTATGACTATACATTGACCCACGCTCATCCCTTCACATCCAATGATGGGGATTCTTACCAATCAATGGTAAGATAGCAACGTCTAAAGGAGGAGGAGAAGAATAAAGACCTTTTGAGTAGGTAGGACGCTCATAGTTGCTTGCTCACAAATCAAAACCATTTTCACACTTACACTTTTAAAACACCTTCAAAAATAAACATCACTTTGAACTATTTTCAAAACCAACACTTTGTATACATTCTTATTGAGACGAGAATCATTACAAAGTTTGTCGAAACAAAGGCGTTTTCAAAATACTTTCAAAAACCCACCACAAACACATTTCAAACAAAGCAATTTCAAAAGTGATCTAGCAAGCAACTATGAGCCCGAAGATAACTACGGATGAAAAGGGTGCTAACACCTTCCCTTTTAATAACATACCCCCCAAACTCAAGAAAATATCTCAAAAGGTATTTCTTGTTCTTTTCACCCTTTCTTTTATTGGATAAAAGAAAAGTCGGTGGAGACTCTTGCTATCCGCAACATTTGCGATAAAAATGCAAAAACACCCGAGTCAGTTCTCCCACTGTATTACAGCGGTGCTATGATACTTACCACCATGGATGGTGAATACTTTCCACACCCTGTGAATACAGACATAGTCAAAAGATACTACGCATGAAAGAGACCCGCTAGGTTGACTGGCCTAGGCAAAAAAAAGGGCATCTCGGCCAACTAGAAGGGTTTGGGCAAAAACCAGGAATATATATAAAGATTGTACACCCGTCAAGTCGAAAACTTGAAAAGGCGGCTTGGGTAAAAAAGGGTATCCCGATAGACTGAAAACCCGAAAGGGAGGTCCAAGAAAAAGTTAGGGATTAAAGTGTACGACTACGTTCCGTTGGATCATCTACTTATAACAAGTTTTGTTATCGACGTCAAGTTTAAATAATACAGATCAATTTAGTCAACTTCTTCTGATAGCGAGGGATGAGATTCTTGAAGACATAAAGGCAATAGCATAGTTGAAACTCAATGAGATCGTTTCCACATAGCTGCTTTCTCTTTCTTTGACTTTGTAGCCTTTTCATTTTATGATGATTTCCTCTTACTAGGATTTTTGTCTCTATGTACAAAAACCTCTTGTTTATAGGCAAATTATCAATACAAATACAAATTCAAAATTCAACTTTATTTTACTTTCTCTATTTTGTTTGTAAAAACATCCAATGACTAATTTGAATGAACATATGCATATGAGTATGATTATTGTTAACAAATATAGGCATAAAAACAAGAATAAGCATTTACTCAAGACTTTAGGAATTGGGATAACGTTCAGGACATCCACAAATCCCCACAGAGCAACCTCCATATAATTATCCCCAGAGTTACTTTCAGAAGCTCATCCCAGATGTAGATACATTCGCCCGCAAGTCTAATATGCTTCCAGACAGGAATTTGGGCTCTTCCAGCTATTAACCTAATCATACTCCCCAGTGGATCCCCTTAGCGGATAAAGGAGTTTGATCGTTTCCCTAACATATAGTGAAAGCTTCCTCCATATAGCCTACAAAATTCTAATTCCCATCAGAAATATGTCCTTATCACACTTCGCAAGAACTTACTTCCCTAGCTGAGTTATTTCTCCAACACTGCAAGATCCCCTACAGAGTTCCCTTCTCTAGTAGAGCTCATTTCCTCAGCAAAGTATATTTCTCCAGCATTGTTTATTTCCCCAATGGAATTTAATTTCCCAAACAAAGTTCATTCCTCTGATTACTACAAATCCCCGATATGATTCTCTTCTCCAACAAAGTGTAGGTAGTCCAAGTTGTTATCCCCAGAAAGTTGCTACGAAATCTGAAACCGAGCCAGACATCATTTAACTTTGTCCTCCCCCAGAAGAGTTGACATCCATATCAAAAACTCGGTCATACCGCACTTCTGAAGGTTATTAATCTCTTTTATC